TCACTATCCAGGCCAGCCCAGGGAGATATAGCCAGTGCTTGCTCAGGCTGTCTCACAGCTTGCTGCCCACAGCCTGGGGCAGCTGGATGTGGCCTTAATATTATCAGCAGTGGGAGCAGGTTGCTAGCAGACAGAGCAGGGAGAGTGTGACAGCATCAAAGTATCTGTCCAATTTGCAAATGGAAGAAGAGATCAGTTCACTTTGGGGATCTCGCCTGGGGACCCCACATCTGATGATGGTTAATACCACATAAGCAAGGGGCTGCGAATGATTCTGTTTCCAGGATGGCACAAACCACACCAGAATGGAGGGCTGCCCAGAGCCCTGGACACGCACAGCTGCTGAGGGAGTCTGCAAGCAGGCTGGGGGCTATTCACTAAGGCTGGGCAAAGAGAGTGATTGACTCAGGATGCCTGGGCCTAGCCCCGGCTTTGCTGCTGATTCACTGGGTGACTTTAGCTAAGTCCCCTCCTTTCTCTGTGCATCACTTTCCACATCTGAGCAACAGGAATAAAACCTGCCACAGCAGCACTAACACTTCCCTGCATCATAATAAGGCAGGGAGATCAAAGGTACGTCTCCTCACCATCCAGTGAAGATGGTCCATGGCTGTGCACAGGTTGGGGTGGGGAAGCTGAATCAGGGTGTATTACAGTAGCATAGACCAGGCCTCTCTGTGCCAGGTGCTGCACACAGGCACAGGCAAGAGATGGGCCCTGCCCCAAAGAGGGCACAGTCTCACCTCACAATTGCAGGAGGGGAAAATGGATCATGGAGCAGGGCAGAGCCTCACCCAAGGGCAGAGCTGGGAACCCAGGAGGAGGGTCAGAGCAATGTCATTCTCTCCTGGCCCCAGTGTATCACAGCACCATTTAATTTAGACAAACTCCACTGGGCAGGGATGTGTCATTTTTAATTTGGCTTGAGAATGCTGCGGACCCCCATGGGACGGGCAAATTCACACTGTTTCTCAGCAAGATCCTGTGCAAACAGAAAGAGCAAAGACACAGAGCAATCTGCAACTGCATCAGGTTGTGTCCCACAAGACACTCCAGGCTCAGGGCCAGGTGTAGACCTGGTGCAACTCCAGAATGGCCTGTTTTTGCCAAGTCTTAGCTAACACCCAGCATTCACCTTCCCTGTCATTGAGATGCAACCAGCTCTGGGGTAAAATGCTCCACACAAAGCCACATGACACAGGAGCCCGGGACCAGGCAGTGAATAATGCTGCAGCCAATGGGAAGTGCAGAAGACATCAGAGCCAGGCAGAGCAACAACCTGCAGCAGCAGCAGCCTGACTGTGCCATTGGCTAAGGCAGAAAAGCAGTGCTGGTCTGTGTGGCTGTTGGCAATCTGCATGTGACAGTCATCCCAAAAACCCACTCAGGGATCGGCCCAGAGTGTGGATGAGTAACACAGCCAACCTTGTTCCCTGCTCTAACAAGAGCTGCCTGATGGACAGGATGGATCAGCACACAATACAGACAGACAGAAATGAGAAGGGCACCCTAGCAGTCAAACCACAGATAGTGCAGGTGTCCCAGCTGGCATGTGCCTGCCTGGTTGGGGGCAGCAGCTGGAGTGAATACAGGCTAGGCTCAGAGGCAGAGACAGGGACAGCAGGGATGGTGCTGGGGAGCTATTTCCAGGGCACAACATAGGGCTGGTGAAGGGGCAGGCAGGAGAGTAAGACTGCCATTGCTTGCAGGGGGAAGGCAGGGGCTATAGTAGGGTGAGCCACTGCATTAAATGAGAGGCAAGGGCTGGGGACCAAGAGCTATGGAGGGAACCAAGGAACCTGGGTGGCTGTGATGGAGGAAGGTCTGGCATGGGCCCTTTTCCTTTGGCCTCACTCTGATCTCTTCTTCCTCGTTTATGAACAGGAGAATGCTATGTTCAATGCTCCTGCTCACACAGGATGGGCTTGTGGGATCCCCACAGTCCCTCCCTGTTGTCCCACATGTATACAGCACCAGACACACATGGCAGCTGGCAGTCGGTGGGAGGAAAAGGAGTTCACTCAGACCCTCCTGTGAATAGGAGCTGGGTCTCACCCCTGGCAAACAGCACAGAACCAGTCCCTGTGCCAAGGAGGGTAGGCATGAGTGGGAGGCACAGGAGTGTCAGGCAGGATGCTGCCCCAAGTAGGAGCTCAGCTGTGCAGCCGGGCAGAGAGGAGTCTACCCCATTGAGGGTAACATGAAAGAAGGGGCAAGTGTGGGTGAGCTGAGGGAGGCAGGAGCAGGAAAGGCTGGGCTGGGCTGGAAAGGAAGAGAGGAAGCAGCAGAGACTAACTGCTGTGCACACCACACACGTGCCACTGCTGGCAGTGCCAGGGATGGATTTGCTTCCATGCCTGGGCCCACCCTGACTGGAACAGGTGGAGGGGCAGGAAGGACTGTCAGCTCCGGACAGCTCTGCAGACCAATGCTGCCGCAGAGCTTGGGTCGATTTGTGTGTCCCAGTGATTTCCTCTAATTGGTCACCGGGCTGGCTGGCTGGATGCACTATTGACCAGCTGGAATCTTAAGCAGACAGCCCTCCCTGCAAATAATGGACTTTCCAACCCACTTTGGGTACAGGCTGCCAGCCTGATCTGACAAGTGATCCAGGAACACAGGAGCCCAGATAGACACAGTCCAGGAGCCCAGACAGACCGACCCTCAGTCCAGCTTCCCACAGTCTGAGCCTGGAAACACTCCAACACATGGGTGGGTGAAGTCCGAAGTGAGATGAGCCCCCTCCCAGCAAAGCCCTGGGCAGCAGCACAGAAAACAATCATAGGATAAGGACACGGCACAACTCTGCAGCACCCACACAGCAAGGCTGGTATCTCCCCACCATCATACGTCCCTTGAAGGAACCCAGGCCACAGTACACACAGACTGATCCCTGCACTGTCTTCACCTCTTTACTCCAGGATCCAGGGAGAAAGCACCTCCCATGGACTGCATTCTGATCCATCAAACTGGGAAAATCTAGAGTAAGTCCATGGGCTCCAGGGGAAGGTTACACTAGGGAACTGGGATGAGCATCTGACCCCTTACTTTAAAACCCCACCCCTCCGAGGGCATGAGCCCGGCCCACCACTTCAGCTGGCCTCCAAGCACCCTTCTCGCTGACTAGCACCAGCCTCCTCTCTGCCCTTTCACCCTTGGCCCTCCAGGCCTGGCATGGGAGCCGGTCCTGTCCTGTCAGAGCAGCCTTCCCAAAGATGCTTTCCTTGGGGGATCACCTTCCTCTCCAGTTGTCTCTGCCCCACATGGTGCCTGCTGTTCTCATATCTCCACCCTGATCTACCTACAGATGCTCCTACTCCACCCACAGCCATCACAGCCAGCACAGACTTGGGGAAGTGGGTTTGTACTTCAGGGACTCTGTTTTATCATATTTGATCGGGGAGAAACAGTCTGGACAGGCAGGCTGCTAACCTGTCTGCAGGGAATGCCCAGCTCTGCCTGGAGCCAGGTAGCTCCCTACCGCTCACAGATACTTGGTGTGGTGAAAGTTGGACCAGCACTGCCCTCAGGTGGTCAGAAAAGGGCACTGCTCCTCCTGGCATCCGCACAGTTAGACCACAATGTCTGGTCCCACGGTCAGGGTACTGCTGTTCACGTTCCTCCTCCCCCCACCCCTCCCCAGGGTGCAGTTCTGACCCTGTGGATCAGGACAGAAGGCCATGAAGGGGAGAGGATCTGGTATCTAACAGCACTGGCAGATCTCTGAATCTCCCCACAACAGATCAGCTCTCAACCTCTGTTTTGACACCCCCCTCCCCCAAGTTTAAGGCCAAGGGAGAACACTTGGCATCTGAGCAATCCCAGTGTTTTACTGTTACCAAGGCTGAAAACAGCACTGCATTCAATGGGTTTAACCATGGCACATGACTTAAGTGACTCGCCCACGGTCATACAAGTCAGGGGCAGAATCATTCACTGAACGCAGGAGTCCTTCTTCATCATACCTGCGAACACCCTGACTATTCTTCTACCAAGAGGCACAGCTTCAGGAGCTCCTTCACAAAGCAGCTGCCAGGCAAGAGGCAGTGTAGTGCAGTCCAGTCTGCTGAGTGGGGCACTGGACTAGGTGTCAGGAGACTTGACTGTGCGTGCTTGTGTGTGCCTTCCCAGTCTTGTCTGCTGGAATGTTAGCTTTCTGGGGCAGGACTGTGCATGTGCAGTGCCCAGCACAAGCAAGTAGCTATGAAATAATAAAGGCATCAGGGCAAGAGAGTGGGTCTTTCCAATGCAGCAGCTGCTTCATAGTAAATGGTAAATTAAAAGCTCACAGGTGGTCACTTAGCCCTCTGTCACTGAGAAGCAAGCAGCTCAGGTTTAGGTCTCACTTACTGCAGGAGAAGAGAATGAATACAGACCCACTAATGTGCAGGAAAGCTCTGCATTCTTTTAACCCTGTGGTAACTCATTAGTTAGCCCATGCCCTTGGCTTGGCACAGTTCAGCTCACCCAGAGATGGGTGTGATCAGGACTGGATTGTGCTGTGCTTGCAAACTCTGCTTCTGTGCAGTGGACTTTATAGAAGAAGGATAGCCAGGCACTGGAATAAAACTGCCGGGCAAGATGGGAAGCAGCAGTTCTCCAGGTACAAAGAATAAAAAAACCACAGGAAGTGTTCTGCTGGGCATCACTTGATTAAAAAATATGCTAAACCCAAGCTCCCCAGTTGTCCCCAGATTTACCATCTCTGCTACAGAACCAGCAGGTTAATACTAGAGAGGCAATTGAAAGGCATTGGTTTCTTAAGCAAGTAGCTGTGTCTCACCCATGAGGATCCACACTAGATCCTTCATAGACATACTGGAGCCCTGAAGACCCCTCAGTGTTGACCCTTCACCAGGTAGAAGTTAGAACAATGCTCATTTAGACTGTAAGCTTTCAGGGACTGGACACCGTTTCACCCCTGGCTGCCTGTGCCCTGTACAGTCACAAGATCATAGAAAAGCAGAGCTGAAAGAGACTGCATTGGCATGCATGGTGTATAACAAGGCAGGCCACACAAGTTTTACCCCACCACCTGCCCTGCAGTGATAGATATTAAGGCACTTCACAGACATTCATCAAGTCTCCTGACGAGGACACAGGCAGGTGAAATGACTTGTCCACAGAGAAAGTGTGGGTTAAGGGACAGATCCAAGGAGGTGCTGAGCTGAGGCTTCTGAGAAGGAGCTGAACATAAACAACAGCTGAAATTCCCACTTACAGATCAGACTGTCCTGCGAGACCCAAAGGTGACCTGATTCAACCGGGTGAGTTACTAGATGGACGGACTCCTTCTGTTATGTGGTCCAGCACTCTGACATGGTGACATAGAACAGGGTTTGGACACTTCATCCTTACACTGTAGTGACTTCCCATCTGGACGCCTGGGGCCCTCTACCGAGTCCACCCAACCCTCCTATCAGAAGGTGCTGATTATTGCTAACATGACTATAAAGTGCAAAGAGAGAAGCTATGAGTAGGCGCCTGGGTGAGGAACCCACGCTTCACCTTGAGAAATTTGCAAGGAGACTCCTCATCTCATCGTCTGTATTCAGACAGCAAAGCTCATTAAAACTCCTGGCTTTTCACTGCCCTTTTCAAACTTGGAAATTCCAGGCAGAGTTTTGGCCCCTTAAAAGGCAAAAGCTAGAAAAACGTGAATTAAGAGACAAAATGCCGGAGGAGGAAGCACACGGCCCCCCCTATTCCAGCGAGTGCCGTGACCGCAGCCAGGCGCACCAGCAAAAAATCCAGAGAGTCCTCTAGCTGCCCGTGTAGCTTCAGCACGTGCCTCCATGTGCTCTCCCAGTCCCTGGAGTTGTCAATCACGTGAGTGGCTAATTTGCGCTTCTCATCCAGAGGCAGCTGGGAGGCAATGCGTGCCTCTGCCTCGGACTGGGACAGGCCATTCCTCTTCATCAACCGCGACAGCTGGGTCTGCGGATCACTGCCAGGGGAAGGCATGAAGAATTGAGTGTAAAAGAGAAGGCTGGCAAGGAATGAGACCCCAGTGCCCACAAGAAGTTGAACATGCAAGATGGGATGCTACAGAGGAGGTATCCTGACCCCAAACCCATCACACTCCCTGCCAATAGACCCAGGAGATTGGAGACCAAACTAATCCCTTCCCAGCCTCAGCTCTGTACCTTGTCCAGCCCAGAGCACGTGAGTCAGGAGCACCACCTTTCATCCAAACCCTGAGACCAGCAGTATTTAAGCTGACAATTTATTTTTTCCTAAGAGTCAAAGGAGCTTACACAGCATGTGGTAGGGTCACCACTGCTGTCTGGGGAGATTATGTAGCATGGTAATAGCCTTGGCTTGGCCAACATAGGGGAAGATTGGGCAGTACTTCACGAGTCCTGAATCCATTGGCATTGAGTTTGTCAGGGAACACACTGTCTGTCCAGGGCCAGCTGGACAGGCTCAGAGAAAGTGATTTTTCTCCATTATTCATTATTACTGCTATCATGTATCATTTGTACACTGCACCCTCGCTCCCATAGACCTCCATGGAAAGCAGAGCCCCACTATGTTAGGTGCTGCCCAGACAGAGAGTCAGTCCTTACCATGAAGAGCTGCCAGACTGGGTAGGCAAGGCACACAGAAGGATAGGAAGAGAAAGAGATAAACATGCTGAAAGACATCATCTCACATGCTCCCCAGGAGATAAAATCCATTGGGTTGATTTGCTGAGTCTTAGGCATTCCAACAGCTGCATTTAACTAAAACTTTGCAGGATCAAACACTTCCAAAATGACATGCACTTTCTAGTTCCCAAAGCCTGTAGTGCCACTTACCAGTAAACCAGGATGGTGTGTTTCATGAACTTGGTTAGCTTGTTGGTCTCAAAGAGAAGAGGGATGTCCAGGATCACATAACGGTAGCCTGAAAGGAACCCCAGCCCCCAGATAGGAATGTAGACATGATTTCTCTCTTTTTTCCCACCCAAAATACTTCACACAAGCACATGCACATACATGCACACACAAACACATGCACATGCATGCACATAGTATGCAATGAGATTTTAGATTTATATCCTGCCCTATCCAAAACAAACAAAGAAATAAAATATGGAAAAAGATGTTTAAAGCTGCACAGGTGCTACCAACAGGGAAAATATGGCACTTTCATTTCCTTCTTCAAAAATGGCTGAAGTAATTTGCTCTCACAAAAATAAATAAATAAATGAAAATATTTTACCCTGGAAAATTTCAGAACAGAAGGTGAAAGCTTCAAAACATTTTGAGTGGCTGGAAAAAGCCAAATAGAATGGAAAAGTTTATGACTAGTGCAACCACTGTTCCTTTGCTGCAGGATTACATGAGTTGCTGGGAATGATGCCTTGAGTCAAGGCTGACCAATCCTGTTTTCAGTGGCTCATAATTGTGCCAAACTTCAGCTGTTTAGGCTAATATTACCCCTGCTGGATGTCTGCTATAGGCTGATTTTTTAATGTTTTTTGTTTTTGTTTTTGGAAAGTTTTATCTAAAATAATCCAGCTGTTTCCAAGAATTAAGTCAGGGAAAAATACGTCAAAAAGTTCTTACAGTCATCTCACTCAGAGGCTTTAGTGCCACCGAGCTTTACTGCAGGTACTGGAAATTCAGCAGGGTCACACAGGGGTTAGAGATACATCCAGAGCCTTGCCCGTGAAATCTGCCCAAATTTGGACAAGTTAAATCACTATCTGCATACAATCCGTAGAGGCATGGTGGAGACTGGCACCTCCACCCCAGTTCTTTCAGGACTAAGATGCTCCTGCCCCTCACAGCTCCTTTGTGCCAGCCCCACTGATGTTCCATCTCCCTGAAATTACATCTCCTGACAGTTGCAGACTACATTGGGCCTGGGCACCAGAAGAGAGACTCTTTTGTGTCATTAATGCCCTCCTTCCTATACTGCTGTTGGCACTTCCCAGCATGGAGGAGAAGGAAGAAAAATCCTAGCTTGCTTTAATGGGCAGGAATAATGTGTGAGGAGAAAGGACAAGGTCAAGCTGCAACACAGCAGGGGAGGGACAGGCTGGGTCAGTGGAAGCAGGGGAATGAAGGGACAAGCTGGGACAGAGGGGTTGCAGCCACTACTAAACCTTTTGCAGACCCTGGAACTGAACACAGGACTTCTCGGTCTCAGCACTACCTTTGCTGTCAGCAATCAGCTGTGAAACTCTCTGATAAAATATCTCTCATGTCCCTCAAGTATCCCCACCTTGATCTTGACGTACCATGATCTCATCCCCTTGAATTCAAGTCAATTATTTCCTTCTCCTCCATGCTGGCTGGGGGCCAGCTGGGAGAGCACAGAAGTGGCTCAGCACCACAGAGATCCCCAGTGATTGTAGGAGAAGCCCTGGTCAGTCCAGGACTGGAGCGAATTCAGTAAGCTCCTTGTGGCATGTGCATACTCAGCAAAGATGTATTTTAGTGACGGTATCTAACGCATTTCTACAGAGCATCTAAAAACAAGTTTCCAAAAGTTTATAACTCACACAAGGTGGAGTGAATTTTCACAGGGGTGGCAAAAAGCCCCTCTGTGACCCAGAGAAAGAGAGATATCAGATAGGAAAATTCCATCCCAAAGGATTAAAGGTTAGGCCACAGTGGGCATGTCTACATGAGATGTTTACTGTGCAGTTGACTAATTAGCTCTTCAGTAAATGTTGTACTTCTACACGTGTACCCCTATTAGGCTGGAGTAAACCAATTTACTCTGCAGCAGGATAATGCTTGTAAATTCCTGCGTGAGGAAGAACAACCCTGGGCTGGCAGGCTGGCCCCTAGGGCCCCCTGCCAGCTGGGGCTGCCCCAACCTGACTCAACATGCTGAGATCCCAGGCACACGTGCAAATGATACATCTGAAGCAATAAGCTCCAGAGCTTATTGCTACGCATTAATATGCACATGTAGATGTGCCCAGTTATAAGGAAAATAAAGCAGAGCCTCAAGGTGGGAATTGTGACTTGTACTTATCTCCATGGATCCTGGTTTTCCCAGATAAAAAAATTGCAAATTCTCTGATTACAACTCCAAAATCCATGATTAAATTGAAAGGGTTTGTGGGGGGCGTGGGTATGAGAGTGTGGGGTTTGTAGGCAGGTGTGAGTGGTGTGGGGGAGAGGTATGGGAGCTACGCACCATCAGCCTGAGCAGGCTCTGCACCTCCATGTGCAGCATCCTGCAGGAGTGCAGGAAGCTGCACATGGAGGTGCAGAGCCCACCCAGCCCAGCCTGCATGTGTGGACTGGAAGCTGCATGCTATCAGCCAGAGCAGGCTCCACAATTCCCTGTGTGGCTTCCCTGAAGGGCCAATAGCATACCGCTTCCAGACCACAGGCTCCCAGCCAGGTGGGCACTCCTGCGGGAAGCTGGCTGGGGGATGAGGGAGTGGGGAGGTGTTGGGAGAAGCCCCACACGGAGTGCCTGCCTGGCTGGCAGTGCGTGCACCAGAAGTGGTGAGCTATCAGCCTGAGCAGGCTCTGCACTTCCCTGTGCGGCTTCCCTGAAGGGCTGACAGCATGCCGCTCCTGGTACATATGCTGGCAGGCACTCCACATGGGGCTTCCCCCAACACCTCCCTGCTCCCTCAGCCCCCAGCCACATACCTACGCCCTGCCCCCCACCTGCCCCACTGGCTCTTCCCCAGCCCTGGCAGTCACCCACACCTGCACCTGCCACCCAGGGCTCCCCCCAGCCCTGCCAGTGGCCCCCAGCCATGACCCACTCCCCCCAGCCCTGCCGGTGCCCCCCAGCCCCCTGCAAGCCCCACTTATCTTAGGCTCCAGCAAGAACAGTGAGCCTGAGCCAAGCCTTGGGTGAATGAGAACCTCAGGCCTTGCCCTTCCCCAGCCCTGCCCCAAAGGAGAGGGAGAGGGGGGTTTCCCACCCTTTTTGCAATCAGCTCTTGCAGGCTGGAAGTCTGCCACCTGCAGAGCTCTTTGCAAAAGTGGGAAATCCGCAGGTATCTCTGCTAAAAGGGAAAACCCATTTTTTCTCTAATAAAGTTGGGAAATCTGTGGTTTTCTCTGTTTTTTCTGTGGGAAACGGAAAACCTGGATCCCTGGTTATCTTATACCTTGAAGCGCCTCTGTGTCCTGCTCTCACCTGCCATGCAAGTGTTTCCTTGTTTCCCTTCAGATGCCAAACTCCTGCTGCCCCCTCAGGAAACTGCACTGGTCTAAGGAGCAGCAGGGGCAATATTCAGCCCGGAACTAGAGATCAATTTAATGTACTTTGCAACCACCAGGGTGAGGAATGAGCCCCTTGAAGATCTGGGGTCTAGGATTTGCTTTATAGCCATAGCAAATCACATGGCAAAGGCCCTGAATGGTACAGTGACTGCTTAAGGAAAACATATTTCTAAATATTTGTAAGTATTCCTCAAATTAAGGAGTTGCAGTTACTCTCCCAGATCAAGGCCTATACAGTTGGATTCACAATATTAAGCCACTTGGCTTTACAGGTGGAGAGTTTAAAAAACAATAAAAATGTAAAATATAAACATTTTTTGAAAAATTCTAGTCTAATTTTAGTGCAGAGTGGTACACAGCATTTATTAGCCCTTGTCTGAGTCACATATGTCACCCCAAGTGAGGGCCTATAAACCCTTCCTGCCATAATAAGTGATCTTGGCATTGGCATATGCCATTATATGATACAAAAAACCTCATAGGTGAGCAGTCATTTTTGTTCTTGGACTACTTTATGTCTTTCTCTACCTAGATGCTATTTTTGTTTCTCTCTCTGCTGGTAAAACAAAGTGGGTTTGTTAACATGAGCTCAACTGTAGCAAGTGGAGGGACAAGATTAAATAAAGTTTAACATTCCAATAAAAAATGACCTAAAATAGCTTGTTTACGGTAAAACTGAAAGGTCAGGACTTTAAATTCCAATCTCTCAGGATGGCTGCAAGTGAGAGCTGTGCGCTCCACTAGGAAGCCAAGAATCCAATCTGAACATGCTTCCACCAGACCTGGACATATCAGGCCTTAACCTGGTCAGTTGGAATTGACTGAAACCTGAGCATCCCAGTCTTCAGAGAAGTGTAATTTTGGGACCAAAAGGGGAGCCCACATTTGGGTGAAAAAGACACAACTTTTGTAGTAAGCTGCTTGTTAAAACTAGGCAGCACTTGGAAACCATGCAGGGGTTTAGCATGGCAGAATCATCCCTGGCAAAGAGGGACTGGAGCAGGGTGCAGGTGGGAGGATACAGTCTCAGGAAGTGGGATATCTTATCACCATCCTTTGGGAGAGTGGTGCACATGCATACATCATATGTGCATGCAGGAGCACATGTACACGCCACCAGGACCAAAACTTGGTCTGAAATAGCATTCTTTAATTGATACCAAATCTGTTGGCACAGACACAAAAGTAGATGCAGTTTTACCAGGTAAGGAGGCCTTTGGCCAGAATAAGTTACATTTCCGCTGGGGGGGGGTTTACACTCAGAACAGCTCTACCAATATTGCTCCTCTTTCAAGGCTTTCCCAGTGTGAACAAGCCCTCAGACACCAAAAATAAATATCTCAAATCAACAAAAGCAAAACTAATTAAGACAAAACCATGTGATAGAACAATTGCTGGAGCTCTGGGTAAGAAGCAGGACAGCTCCTCCCCTATGACTGCCATGGCCTAATTAATACACCCCTCTTATCTCCTTTGCTCCCTGTTTCCTTCACAGATTCCTTTCCTGTTGCCTGCCTTTGCTCTCTTCCTTTCCTCCTCCCTACCATCCCCTCTCCAGAGAGCACAGTCCCTTCAGCTCCTCAGCAAAGGGCTATTCAGCTGTCACACAGTACTGTCTTGATAAGCTCTGCAAACTAGACTGACTCTATTAAGACATCCTTCTGTCTACACGGAGACTTCCGAAACAGCTGGTGATCTTATCTGGCATTTGATTAGACCAAGTTTGACAGCTGTATTTGTTATATTTATCAGGGGAAAAAGTGGGACTTTGGAAACCACAGCTGTCAGCCCATTTTTCTACCTTATCGAGATTAAAAGAGCTTCTTGGCTTTTATTGAAGCTAGAGATTGAGGGAGGGGGAATAATATTAGAACATTTCAGAAGGTATGACATTATCCAATGAGTAATCTCAGAAGAGGCCACACAATGCTCCTTTCAGACCCTACAGATGTACTTTAAACCATATAAGGGAGACAATGTGAAGGGCAGAAATGAAAGGCAGAAGTCTCTGAACACTACAGTGAAAGGATAGCCATAGTTTCTAAAGGCCACTAGTGACACAGCACAAAGGCAATCAGTCAACATTTTGGCTTCCTTTCTCCCCTGTAGTCCCTCTCCCCACAGAGTGAGTGAAGATTACTGCTTGTTGCCAGCGTGATCAGAAACCCTCATGTCCTAGGATCCCACAATTGCCTAATGTCTTACCTAGTACAAAATATTTAAAGATCTGTTTCAACATCTCCTTCTGGATCTCAGGATGAGTGATGGAGTTCAGCACCTGTCGTTTTTCCGGGTGGGAGAAGATAATGTTTCCCAGAGCCTCGCGGTTTATCTCCCCGCTCTCCAAAAGGATTTCAGTTCCAAAGTAATGCACTATCTGCTGATAGGCCAAGAAGTGGGGCTGAACCACTGATAAAATTAAACAGGTAGAGGTTAGTGCCAGTTCTGCATCACACTAAGGGTCTGCATTAAAGGTGGGCATGAAATGAACTGAATTCATCTGGGGATATTCCTTTCAGAATAGAACAGGTCTGTTGATTAACATACACTGACTCAAGGCTGTGAAAGATCTCAACATAAAGGTCTGATGTCTACTGAATAAACTTTGAAGCTGGTGCCACAAAAAGAAGTTTGCTAAACCAGTTCTAAGATTACTTTGTACTGTTCCAGTGCTTGTGATCCAAGAGAGCAACCATTGTGTAAGCACTAATTAAACCTCACAACTGTCCTAAGAGCTGCATGAGCCCCATTTCAAAAGTCACTATGCTGTGTGAGAGGACTTAACAAAACCAACATAGCCAGTCAGCAGCAGGACTGAAATAAACTCCCAGAATTTTGATATTTCCCTCCCTCCTCTAACCACCAAGTCACACATGGGATTCTATATTGTAAGCACTTGCCTTACTGAATAATTCTCAAAACTTTAATCATTATCATTGTTGTTGTTGATAATGATGATAATAATAAAAGGTTTTTTTTTTCAAAATGGGAAAACCTTGCAGTTAATATAGTTGTAATCATAGATTTCATAGACATTAGGGCTGGAAGGGACCTTGGAAGATCATCAAGTCCAGCCCCCTGCCCAAAGGGCAGGAAGTCAGCAGGGGTCATAAGATCCCAGCAAGGTAGACATCCAAATGTCTCTTGAAGGTGTTCGGTAGGTGCTTGAACCACCTCCAGCAGCAGTCTATTCCAAACCTTGGGGGCTCGGACGGTAAAGAAGTTCTTCCTTATGTCCAGCCTGAAACAGTCTTGCAGTAGTTTATAACCATTCGACCTCATCATCCCTTGGGGCACTCTGGTGAACAAACATTCCACCAGATCCTGATGAGCACCCCTGATAAATTTATAGGTGGCCACCAGATCACCCCTGAGCCTGCGCTTTTCCAGGCTGAAGAGTCCCATAGCTCTCAGCCTCTCATTGTAAGGTCTATTTTCCTGACCTCTTATCATGCATGTGGCTCTCCTTTAGACCCTCTCAAGCTTCTCCACATCCTTTTTGAATTGTGGAGCCCAAAACTAAATTAAATCTTAATAAAGTATGGTGATCAAGAGTTGTATTTTATATGTTGATGGCTATTTCCATGTGTATGCTTTAAGGGAGGGGATATTACTATCATTGATTTTGCATGGCCTCCTAAGGGATGGCACTGAGACAGATTTCTTTGTCCAGCATCATTCATTATACTCCACAGAGCTTGGGCCCCGATTCAGCATAGCACTTAAACACATGCTTAAGTCCCATTGGGCTCAGCAAGATTTCAGCATGAACTTAACTTTGAGAATGTTTAGCTTGAACAGACTCTAATGGGATTCAATCACATGTTCAAACTTAAACATGTGTGTAAGAACTGGTATTTGGTCTGTTGTGAGGGGCAACTGAAGGGTCAGCAGGTTGAGTTCCAAAACAGGACTTATTTAGACACTGAGGCTTATTCTAACTGAAAAAAAGTGTGCTAGATGACTAAAATAGATAGGGCTATCATACTTTAGTAGTCGGCTATTAAAAATCACTTGGGCTTGGATAATAAAGTTCTTACAGCTTCAGCTACCATCAGGATCAAGGCAAAAGAACTCTCACCCAGCTCAATCTCAAGCTTCAGCTTGAGATTCTTTATGATAAATTGCACATGAAAGCCTGTCAGAGGCCAATTCCCCACAGCTGTTTGCAGGTTATTAGAGAGGTCTGATGTTAGCAAAGTAGGTAATTTAAAAAAACTCATAACATCACAAACAAGAGGATATAATAAACGAAAAAAGGAGAATTAGGAGAAGGTTGAGGATAAACAGAAGGGGAAAAATCAGTGCATGTAATTTTCTCTAAGGATCCAGAGATTCTTTCACTCAGCTGGGGATTGAAGTAGAAGAAAGAAGGAAAGAAAAAAGGAATGAAAGAAAGAAGATGCTTCCGCTGTGATAAACTTTATATTTGAGGAACTACAACTGTTTCAGAAAAGTTCAGTAACAATTAAATCCAAGTAGTAAATGGAAAAAAAAAAAGCAACTGAAGAAAAACAAATTACTTGGTAGAAAATTGGCGCTGAGTATCTGAAGTGGGTCCCAGAAGCCTCAGTCTTTCAGAGCTAGATCCACTTCTAGCAAGTTTTCCATGTCAGAGGGAATTACATTGCAATAAAATGTAAAAATATCACAGCTTTTAAATGGTGAGTAAATAGGTTTTCAACAAAAACAAAAGAGGAGATACTTAAAAATGAAATCACATGAGTAACATTGCAATCTTATTAATCATATTTTGTACATCTCTAGTGTTGTTCATTAGTAGACCTAAAAAGTGTGCTTAGCAAAAATTAACCTTTTACCAGCCCCCAATAAATAAATAAAGTGAGCGCTACAAATCACTTTTGACTGATGATTTTGCCCCAGGTCTGACTGGGAATTGAGAGGCAAAGCCAGGATTTGAACTCATTATCTTCTGATATCCTGCCCCACCCCATGCACAGGATCTCATTTCCTGGGTTGTTTCCACATTAAGAACAGAGGGACATTGCAAGGGTTAGAAATACACAGCTGTACTGTATTTAGGTGCAGGGCAGAGTTAAATGTAATGCTGCTTTCATTTGGAGATGACCCTGGTGTTTTGATATTAGGAGTGCCTTTTTAAGGCGAGAATGACATTCTTGGGGTTGGACAGTTATGAGCCTTAAACAACCAAGCTCTGCAACCATATGCAAATAGAGGATGAAATTCTTTTTTACAGTATTGGTAACCAGTTGGGCAAGGTCCTCCAAAAGCCATTAAAGAACTTGAGCCGCATTAAGACAGACCATGTGTCACAGTCTGATGGCTTTGTCAGGGGTCTGGCAGGGAAGGTAATCATAATCCTTTGTTTTGCTCTTGAGTATGACAGCTTTATAGACAGTTTGTCTATAAAATCAAGCAGCATCCACTGCACATTAGGAGGAAGAAATGTAGAATTAAATCATTCCACCACAGCACGTATCATTATGACATTAATTTTGATAAAATGTGTCCTGTTTTCAGGCCCCTGAAAAACCACTCCTCACTACTGTCTTGAATGAATGAAGTACAGGGGGGAAGTTGTGGACTGAATGCAGAGCACCCTCTGCTGCCTAAACTGTGTAGCAGTAGCAAAGATTAGCTCCAGGTTGTCAGGAATATATATAAGGAATAAAGATCAGCTGCACAAAACTAACCCTGTCTGGCAATAACATCAGCATCAATCACTGCACAGCCCAGTTCCCGGAATACTGCCACTACCGTGCTTTTTCCTGAAGCAATTCCACCTGACAGGCCGACCAGGAACATCCTGCTCTGGAAAAGAAAGAAAGCTCAAAACACAGCAAAATGCCACAGAGGTTCATTCATTCTGTACATGCAAACATTCAGCCTGAAGAAGCAAACCAGTCCAAAGAAGATCATGCTTTGTATTTCTATGGGATCTATGACATGTTTTCAGGAGAGGGTCTCAAAGTACTTCAGAAATGTAATGTAACTTTTAACACTGTTTGCCCATTCTTTGAACCAGGTTTCACAACATGAAGAACTGAGAGAGTGTGGACATGTGTACACATGCAATTCATGTGACTGAATATACTCTGGCTCAATTTAAGCCAAAGTAAACTAATGTGGATGTCATGATCTACATGTGCATTTAAGTGCAGTAATTTACTGTGCTGCTGAATACCACTTATATCTGACAGGACTATATGGCAGTGCAATTAATTAGTCTACTGTGCCCTAGCTGCTGTGCACGTATAGACGGTGATGCTTTACTGCGCTTCAAATTAATCTGCTGTGCAGTGTCTTGTGTAGACGTGCCCAACAAGACTGAAATCTTTTAGTACCAGCTAATTCTGGAGGCACAACATGAATCAACAGCATCTAATTTTTAGAAGGGTTGAGCACTTGCAGCACTGGCTGACTTACTGGAGTTAGGTATGTGCTCAGTACTTCTACAAGTCAATGCCTGAGTCTCAAGCAATGTCCCCCAATGTACTGGTTACTTAAAACTTGGGCCTACATGGTCCATCAGTGACAAAACAGGGAAGAGTACTTACCCTGTCCCCATTATCAGAGTCTAAGCCTCACAAACTGAAATCTGGGGATTGAAAATTAAACCATCCCTGCTAATCTCAACACTTGGAACACAATGGGAGGGAGATTGGCTCTGACATAACCGAGACCCAAATTGCAGAAAGTTTTATAGATCAGGACCAACAAATAAATTGTGTCCACAAACTAACTGGAAGTCATAGCTGTCTTCATGCAGAATGAAAATGAGCTGCACAAAGCGGGCCACTCATTTCTGTGCTAACAGGAGACTCTAAATGCCTTTAAGTATGGCTCTACGTAAAGCAAGGGTAGCCAACCTGTGCCCTGCACCACAAATGGCATGGCAGCCTGTGTGTGTGACATGCAGCAAACTGGGGAGGGGATGAGCAGCACTGTTAAGGCAGTGAGCAGTTAAGGCAGGGAGCAGAAGGCACAGAAGTAGATTCATAGATTGTAAGGCCAGAAGGGACCTTGGAAGATCATCAGGTCCAGTCCTCTACACCAAGCAGGAAAAATAACTGGGGGTCAGGTGACCCCAGCAAGGTGACTATCTAGTCTCCTCTTGAAGATTTCCAGGGTAGGTGATTGCACCATCTCTGGAGGGAGCTTATTCTACAGTCTGAACACCCTGACTGTGAAGAAGTTTTTCCTAAAGTTGAGCATGAATTGGTCTTCCAGGAGTTTGTGGCCATAACTCCTGTTTTTCCCCCAGGGTGCCCTGGTGAACAGTTGCTCACCAAGCCCTTGCTGTACTCCCCTAGCATAGCAGTAAGCTGCTACCAGGTCCCCTCTCAGCCTGTTCCTCAGGCTGAAGAGTCCCAGATCCCACAGCCTTTCCTCATATGACTTGCCATGCAAGTCCCTGATCATACGGGTGACTCTTCTTTGGACTCTCTCAAGCTTGTCCACGTCCTTGTTAAAGAGTGGTGCCCAGAACTGGAGGTAGTACTCCAGCTCCGGTCTCACCAGTGCTGAGTAGAGTGGAAGAATCACCTCCTTGGCTTTGCTGGAGATGCATTGATTGACGCATGCCAGAGTATTATTTGCCCTGGATACTGGCTACAGCGTCACATTGCTGGCTCATATTCATACTGTAGTCTATTATTACCCCAAGGTCCCTTTCATTCGTGGTGCTGATCAGTTTGGTGCTGCCAAGCCTTTAGGTGTGTTGGGGGGTTGCTCATCCCAAGGTGGAGCACTTTATGTTTCTCTATGTTGAACTTCAGCAGGTTCTGATCCACCAAACTTGCTAGCCTGTCTAGATCTGCCTGTATCTGTAGCCTATCTTCAAGCGTGACTACGCTTCCTCGTAACTTAGTACATCAAGCAGGGACAATGTGGTAGGTAGCAGAAAGTAGGAACATATATTGGGCAGCAAACAGTGATTGGAGTGGCACTCAGGGGGAGAATGAGCAGTTAATTTGTGGCATGCCTACCAAAAAGTTGGCCCTCACTGATATAAAGCATACTCTAGTTATCCAGCTCGTATTCATCCATATAATATAATAAACGCTCAAAAATTAATCTTGTTTGCTGTGGGTTATGATTAATAGATTTTAAAGCCAGAAGGGGCTGTTCTGATCAGTCTGACACTGGACAGAAAAATTCATTCAGTGATTTTGCACCAAGCCCAGAACTTCTGGTTCAACTATAGCATGTCTTTTTTAAAGACATCCAGTCTGGATTGCTAGTGATAGCAAATCCAATACAACCCCAGCTGAGCAGTTCTAACAGCTAATTATATTCATTGCTAATAAGACACGCTTTATTTTTAGTCTGCATTTGTGTAGCTGCAACTTTCAAACCTTGGATCTTTTTATGCCTTTATCTGCTAGATAAAAGGCCTTCTACTGGATGTAGTGTTTTGATTTGTCCAGGCTGGGTAAAAGGATGTACGGAGTTTTTGTGTTTTGTGAGGTTTAGGGAAGGTAGCAATTTTCATGTAAGGTTTTATGATTTTGAAACTTTTGCAATAATAATAAAAAAGTAAAGGCTTTCTACTATCAAGAATAGCCTGTCTTTTAGTTACCTAGGAACTATAACTAAGTGCCCTCTTAACTTTCTGTGGGACCATCAATTAAACAGACTGAGCATTTTCATTATCAGCCTGGTTTCAGATCCTACTTCCTGGTTTCCAGATCACAGATCATTCTTGTAACTCTTTTCTGACCCCTTTCCAATGTCTCAATGCCTTTTGCAGCCGGGTCCATCCTACTCTTGTGTTGCTTGTTCCGTCTCTATGGGAAGCCCCGAGGAAGTCTGTGGGTGCTCCACAGCCCTCCAACCCCAAGCTAATGCTGCACACATCTGAGACACAGGCAACCTTCCCTGTGGAAGACCTTGGACTGTACTCCTTTTCTTCCAACTGATGCTCACTGTCAGTCTGGGCCTGCCCTGTGCTCTCTTACAGGGGCTGGCACTGGAAGTGGAAAAATAAGGGGGGTTATTGAGACACAGGACAAATGACAAAATCCCACTGTTTTCAATTTTTGTGCAGGTCTTTCGCAGAGCATGGCAGGGCCAGAGGCACAACAGTATTGCAACAAGGGGGCAGAAGCTAGTATGCCCAGAAGTGAAAACCCTGACACCAAATGTAACAAGTTATTTTTATGAGAGTGTAACTGTTTCTTACCTGCATGTGCAATATGGGACCCTAAAAACCGCAGTGTTTAAGGTATCGTTCCAGAACTTGGTGCTGGATTGGTCAGTCGGTCTTAAAAAAATCACAGGGCCACGGGGTGAGAAGAAAGTAATTGCTCAAGAAAGCAGAGCCCGTGGGCTGTATGGCTGATATTAGGTTAAACCAGTGAAGAACATCAAGTTGTTTTTTCTACATATCAGTATTACTGCAACTTTATATTTGGATAACATAAAAAACATCTCCGCTTCTATGTTGCCAGGACTTTAATTGCTGCATTATTCCTCTTCATACTCACTTCCAAGTCTGGCAGATAATTTATGTCAATGCCATTACACTAGATTTCTGTAAGGTGCTTGACTTGGTTCTGCATGACATTCCAATTAAAAAGGTAGCACTGTGACAAAAACACTGTGACCCATAGTAAATTAATTAAGTGGTTAACCAAAGAAACTGTACGTAAGGAGTCATAATCCTACAGTGGTGTTTCTACTGGGATTCTGTTGGGATTGAATTGCAGCTCACTGGTATTCTAAGAAGGTATTAATGATTTGGAATACATAAAATCCTACCTAATTAAGTATGCACATGACACAAATTGGTGGAATAGTAAATAATGAAAGACCACAGTTCAGTTATTCAGGCTAATCTGAATCACATAATAGGATGACAGACTCATGGGAAGAGCATGCATTTTAATATAGTCAAATGCAAGATCATGCATTAAGGAACAAAAAATAATGTCTCTCACATACACAGTGGGAGGCTGAACTCTAAACTGCTTTGATGCTGAAAAAGAAGGAGTAGGTAACTTTGAACATGTGCTACCTGTGCAACACTAGCTAAAAGGGTAAGTATGATCTTTTGTATATAAGCAGAGGAGTATCAACTAGGAGTAGAGAGAAGATGTTTCCTCTGTACACAGCATTAGGGATACTCTTATTGGAAGATTGTGTCCTGTTCTGGTACTCCCATTTTAAAAATGGATGTTGGAAACTAGAAAAGGTTCTCAAATGCTACAAAAATGATCTGAGAGCTGGAAAAGCTTGCCTTATTGTGAGAGACTGGAGAAGCTCTCTCTTTAGTACAGGGCTGTCAGACTCACCTTGTGCCCCAGGTCAGACCTGCACTGCAGGTTTCTTCGTGGGCCAGATCCAGCTCGGGACATAAGGAAGCAGTGGACTTTTTCAAAGCACCAAGAAAACAAGTGGTTTCTCACAGTCTTAAGTGTACATGCAGAAATAATCTTTTGCAAGGTTGATTTTCTCAGCATCTGTGTGCAGGTGCAATGACAGCTGTTTTTCCATGGAATGACACCTCAGCCCTGTTGGCTTCTAATGCCTGTTTGGCTGTAGTTAAACATTTTGCTGCCAAACAGGTATTAGGTGTCAGTGGGGCTGAGCTGTCTTTCTGTGGAAAAATGCCCTCATTCCACCCGTGCAGGAAGCTGGCACAAAAGTGATCTGCATCTGGACTGAACTGAAGGAAGAAGAGGGTATTTTGGAGACAGGATTGTTAAACTGATGAACTGATGACACAATAGTTGTTCCACAGAATCAGCTGGAGTCCCATGGAAACAGTAATTCTAGATCAGCATTTCTCAACCCATGGGTTGCAACCCAAAAGTGGGTTACAAGAATATACTAAAGGGCTGTGAAGAAACTTTTAAAATGGATTCTCCTGTAAAAAAGGAGAAAAATGTGGGAAACTGGCGTTTCCCTTGCAGCCCTATAAGGGGCTGCTTGGGGATCCCCATACCACACACACCCCTCCCCGCCCTCCGAAACCACACCCTGCCCCACACACTGTGGGGCTGGAGCCTGGGGGTGAGGGGGAGGCAGCAGGTTGGGAGTGAGGGGCACTGGGCATTGATGGTCGTGGTACAAAAAAGGTTGAGAACCACTGTTCTAGATAAACCAGGCTAGACAAAAATCATTCTCTGCTTGGTTAAGCCTGAGTAAGAAACTAAGGGTTTTTTTGGTTACCACGAGTCCGTGGCAGTGGTGCTCAACCTTCCAGCCCCACAGGCTGGATAAGTATATTGAGCCAGTCCATGGACCAGATCCCATGAGCAGTTGGCATGCAGGCGTGATACTGCACCAGCACCAACCCCACACACCAGATCAGCCACATGCTTGCCCAACCCTGACTGCTGAATCTAGCTGCAGAATGACTCCATGTGTAAGCCCCACTGCCAACTGGAGTGATCCAATGCAGGGGCATTCAATAAATCCGACCCCCTTGCATCCTGTCATCTGGCCGGTGGGGCTCCCCGAGGGTCCCAGTCTCCACATGGGGAAGTGACGCCAGGCCTGTGGCCTGATCCTGGCGTGCAGGGTGGATCAGGGCAGAGGCAGTGTGGCCCCCAGAGCCCAACCTAGACAGAGGGAACCAAGGCGGGGCCCCAGGGCCCAATCCTGGCACAAGGGCCGGATCCTGGTTTGCAGAATAGAACTGGACAGAGGCTGTGCAGGCTCCCTGGAGCCCAATCTTCCCATGAGGAAGCAATGTGGGGCCCTGAGCCTGGCACACGGGGTGGGGCGGAGCAGCACCGGGACCCTCACAGCCCAATCTCCACTCAGGAAAGTGACGGGGCAACAGGGCCTGCTCCTGGCTCCCCAGGTCTGCACCTCTGGCAGCAAGGGGCTGTCAGTTTACACTACTGCCACTCCCCTGCCCTGCCGCCAAGCATCCCAACCTGAACCTGGCCTGGAGCCTGCAGCATGCGACCCCAGTCTGCCTGCCCGCTCTCATCCCCCAACTACCCGGGCTTCGCCTTTGCTTCCCCAAGCCTGCGGGGATGCCTGCAATGCAGCAGCTCCGACCCCTTTTTCTTTGGGACAAGGCCAGCGCTTGGTTCTCTGCGTTTTTGGCGCCGGAAGAATACTAGGGGCGCTGCTGTGGGGCGCGGCGAGACGCACGGGACCGAGGGTCCCTATGGGGGGGCTCGGGGCGCAGCGACCGCACCGCGGGCAGGCGCCTACCCGGGGAGTCTCGGTTCGCCACAGTTCCCCCTAGCTTTTCACCCATCCGCCGCCGCCACCAAGTGAGTGAGGCGGCCCCAGGGCGCAGACACCCCCTACTGGGGGCGGGCGTTCCACCCGCTAGCTCGCTCCCATTGGACGTGGGGCCGCACCCTGGGGCCCAGCCACGCCCCCCGCCCTGTCCATCATCGCGGAAGCCCCGCCCCTAGCCCGCGTGCCCTTGGAGGCATCCTGAAGCCTCCTAGTCCCGCCCCCCTTTGCCTCTAGTCCCACCCGCGAGACCCGCTTCGCGCGCCCCCCTTCCCCTTCTCTCTGCTTCTCCTTCTCTTCAGCCTCCGGCCCCCTCACCTCTCCAGCTGCCGGGCACGGATTCACTCACCCCGCACTATCATGCTCTGCCATTGGCGGAACGCAAAGCAGCTCCACTCGCTCGACCAATCGCGACTATTCTGATTCGTCTAGCTCCTCCCCCGCCCCTCCCGGGCAGAATGTTAAGTCACTGCTGGGGAATGACTGGGAGGTCACTAGATTTGGACGTGGAAGGAGAGGGGGAATCAGAGGGAGCCCAGGCAGTACTTACCCCAGTGATTCTCAGCCAGGCACCTATGAGAGCCACTTGAGAGTCCCCCAGTCAAGAAACGTGAAACAGTTGGCATTTTCCGAAGGGTGCCTCGTGGCTACCGAGGGGCACCTTGTGCCTATGAAAGCTGAGACCCATTCCTATAGTGTTTAGTGGCTTGAGAATAAGCACAGCTAGCTCGGGCCTTCCTGCACTGGAGTCTACATGAGCAGACCCCGTGCACCTTGTGGACCATCTTGGGGCTCCAGAGAAATCAAGAATCAACCTAGGTGAAGTCAGCTGCAGGATAAGGGTCTTGCAAATTAACCCGTTCCTTGAAATCCAGCCAACCTAAAGGAACAGTGAAATATGCTGACTGCTTTTGTTCAACTCATATTTGATACAAGGTATTTGGTGGTAAGAGCAGAGTCAGCACCATGCCAAGACTCCTCATGAATGGTGACCTGATGAAGAATGTCTTGCATTCAAATGCTTGTGTACCTGTCCCAACTATCTAGTTGGTCCAATAAAAGATATCGCCCTAAGAAATCCTTGTCTCTTGCGTAGTTTCTGGACCGTCACAGCTACAAGGTCGCTCTTGCACTACTGAAATTCCTACTCCGATACCTTTGCTCCGATACGTGGTGCTCTGGAGAGGTGCCGGAGGACTGGAAGAGGGCCAACGTGGTTACCATCTTCAAAAAGGGGAGGAAGGAGGACCCGGGAAACTATAGGCCAGTCAGTCTTACCTCGATCCTGGGCAAGCTGTTCAAGAAAATTATTCTGGCACACATCCAGGAGGGGCCAGCACGGAAATGCATGCTCAGGGGCAACCAGCACGGGTTCATCAGCGGCAGGTCATGTCAGACCAACCTGGTGGCCTTCTACGATCAGGTCACTAAATCATTGGATGCAGGGGTAGCAGTGGATATAGTCTTCCTGGACTTTCGGAAGGCTTTCGACACTGTCTCTCACCCCGTTCTCATTAGGAAACTGGGGGACTGTGGCATAGACACCCACACAGTCCAATGGGTCGCCAACTGGCTAGAGAGCCGCACCCAGAGGGTGGTAGTGGATGGGTCCTTCTCGGCCTGGAAGGACGTGGGCAGTGGGGTCCTGCAGGGCTCGGTCCTTGGGCCCGCCCTGTTCAACATCTTCATCAGTGATTTGGATGAGGGGGTGCAAAGCACCCTGTTCAAATTTGCTGACGATACCAAGATGTAGGGGGATGTGGGCACAATAGAAAGGAGCAACAGGCTACAGTCGGACCTTGACAGGTTACAAGGATGGGCGGAGGAGAACAGGATGGGGTTCAACACAGACAAGTGCAAGGTGATGCACCTGGGGAGGAACAACCGGCACCATACCTACAGGCTGGGGAACTCCCCTCTTGTCAGCACGGAGGTGGAAAAGGAGCTTGGAGTCATTATTGACTCCAAGATCAACATGGCTAGGCAGTGTGGGGAGGCGGCTAGGAAGGCCAACTGTACCTTGTCGTGCATCCACAGATGCATTTCAAGCAGGACGAAGGAGGTGATCCTCTCCCTCTATGCGGCACTGGTCAGGCCGCAGCTGGAGTACTGCATCCAGTTCTGGGAGCCGCACTTTAAGAGGGATGTGGACAGCATCGAGAGGGTCCAGAGGAGGGCCACTCGCATGATCAAGGGACAGCAGGGCAGGTCCTATGAGGAAAGGTTACGGGACCTGAACCTGTTCAGCCTCCAGAAGAGAAGGCTGAGGGGGGATCTTGTGGCCTGCTATAAACTAGTCGGGGGGGATCAACAGGCACTGGGGGAGTCCCTGTCCCCCCGGTGGTGCAGGCTCCCACCCTGGGGGTTTTTAAGAGGAGGTTAGATGACCATCTTGCTGGGGTCGTTTGACCCCAGTACTCTTTCCTGCCATGGCAGAGGGTTGGACTAGATGATCTGCCCAGGTCCCTTCTGACCCTAGAAACTATGAAACTATGAAACCTTTCTCTGCTTGATTAAATTACCTCAGCAGATGGATATGTGAAAATAAACCACATAATCACAGCAAAAAATACTTTCTTGCGTAAGGGTATGATAGTGAGAACTGGGATCTAGATGGGAACTATGTGCCAGATCAAGAGCTCTATCTAGTCTAGTGTCCAGTGGCCTATTGCTGATGTCTTTTCAATGTAAAACTTATCCCCTCCTACCTCTTAATGTAGCTGCCTGATCTTTGGGGTCTATGTCCAGTACCCAATTGCTGATGTTTTTAAAATACAAAACCTGTCCCCTCCCACTCTTTAATGTAACTGCCTGTTTGTAGCACAGAACCCCAAAATAATTAGAGGCTTTACAGAACATGTGAAAGACACACCTACCTGGAAAGTTTACAGTCTACGTGAATGATTCTCCACCAGGGTGCCATGGCACCCCGGGGCACCTGGAGAACTTTTCAGGGGTGCCACAGCATGCCACGCAATGTTAGGTATGCAAACACAATTTACAAAATACAACTGGAGTTTTCAAATGGGAATTGATAGCGTTAAGGCCACCCTGCCCTGCTGCGGGCTTTCCAAGTTCTTTACCGCAGAAGACTTGCTCTATTATTTTTCTCTAGTCAAAACACAAGTGTGTAATGTGAATGTAATGTGTGTAGTAGCAAAAGGAACCTGGGGGCGGTCCGCAAAGCAGTGCTGACTGCTAAATTTGGACTACAACTCCCAGAACCCCCCAGGGGCTGAAGGAAAAAAAGGAAGAGGAAGCTTGAGGCTGGAAAGACAGCGGAGTGCACGTGGAGCCTGGTCAGCCCTGCACAGAAGAGTTCATTGGGAGAAGAGTGGATTGGGAGGCCTCACGGGCTTGGTCAGCCAGGAGTGTGGCCTAAAGGAGCTGGACTCAGACTGGGGGGCAGCAGCAGGCTGCTGCTTGTGGTCTGCCAGAGAAATTATGGTGCCAAGTGTATGTTATCAGTGTTGATGTTTCTTCATTTTTGACCTGTTCCCTCCCTTTGGCTTGTAACCCCAACCCCTCCAATTTTCTGCATTAAAAATGGCAGCTCCCCTTAGCTACTTATGCCAGTTTCTGGGGCTGCAGGTAGGGTGGCCATCATAGAAGACAGTCTGGTTGTCCTCTGTCCTCTATTGATATGAAACTGGATGTGTTTATGTCCTGTTTCTCTGGAAGAGAAACATAGAGGACATAAAGGTATTGGGTTTCGTATCAATAGAGGACAGAGTAGGGGAATGTCCTCTACGATGGCCACCCTAGCTGCAGAGTTGGCACAAGTAAAAGCTAAGAGCTGGCCTTTCCAGGGGGAAGTATCAGTCTGACATGGGGCTCCTCAAGCCTAACACGGTTGAGAACCACTGAGCTAGTTAAGCTGCAGTATGAAGTGCTGGAATTGCTGAACCCTTTGAAGCTTCCCACTCCGGCTTCCTTCCGAGGCCCAGTTCCCTGCGCCTAAGCATGGGTGGCTTTAAGCATCCTTGACCCAGGACAATATTTAAGTCCCTCTTTGGACTCGCGCCTGTGGTCGCCAAACACAAATAACTACAAGTCCCAGCATGCGCCGGCTGGCCCGGGACCGGCTAGGTTAGGCTGCCTTGACGCAGAGCCTGCTGGGAATTGTAGTCCCTTGCTCATCAACGGCTCCCTTCCCTTCCTCCGCGAAGACTGCACGTCCCAGCATGCCCGGCGCGGCGGCGTCCAATCGCTGCGCACTTTGTTGTGGGGGTGCGGCACCCACTAAGGCCCCGTTTCAAGATGGCGGACGACAGTGAGACAGCAGGGAAGCAGCCGCCGTCGCGGCCCCAGCGATCGTCCGGAGAGGAGAATGACCACGACCACGAGCACTGCAGCGATTGCGAGAACGAGGAGGATGACTACGGTCGCGGGTAAGCGGGAATCCGGACCCATCGGGCCCCCGCGCAAAGAGCCTCCCGAGCGCCCGGAGGTGGGCAGTGGCAGGGAAGTGAGTCTAGCTCCGCCTCGCGCGCGCCCTGATTGGCCGGGGAGTGGAATTCTACCCTTTGACAGGCTAAGCGCTGTGTCAGTCACGAGGGGGGTGGCCTGTGGGCTCCTATTCACTCGGCTGCCTGCAGTAGCGTGTCCTGTGAGCTAAGCAGGGTCGGGCCGATGGGAAGGGAGACTTCCACGGGGCAGCTCTAGAGGCGACTACCTAGGGGTGCTGATAGGAGCTCTTCCTTCCTGTTTAGTCCTAAACCCACTGCCCCTGTTGAGATTAGGGGCCAGGGTGGTGCCACTGCTCTGGTATTAAGAGTTGCTGGTATTGCTACAGTCCTGATGGTTGCTTGGATGTTGCCCCCCCCTCCCCCTCCCCCTTAGCTGTGGTGTTTGGGGGTTCAGGGAGGGAGACCCCCCCCCCCTTGTCCCTGGGCTGCTGTGCTGGGTTTGGTTGTCATCTGAAGCATAACCTGGGGTCCCCAATGCCCATAATCTTTGGCAATCCCATGAGATCTGTCACAGGAGTTAGTCAAGGTGTCCTGCCTAAATCCCAGCTGGGGCAAATCCATTCAGCTGCCTTAAAACCACCTACAGATTTGTTTGGAAGCTGTTCTTTGCTTGTGATCTGCTGCCATGTTTGCTGCCTCTGAGCAGCTGCAGTACCTTACAGTGGGGGCTGTATTTTGCAAGGGGGTTAGTGACTCTTGCCTGCGTGTCTCTATGTGGTTGGAAAGCACTCTGCCTGATCCTGGTGTGGCTCCTTCTGGCAGGCAGAAAGAGCCATGCAGAGAGATATTTTGCCTGCTGCTCTGCTCCTTGCATGCTGAAAGGTAGAGAAGAACAAAACCAAATGACAGATGCAACAAAACTGAAATCTCATAAGCAAAGAG